GTCTCTGAGTTGCTGACATGGATGCAGAGATAGTAGAGTCAGAGATTAGGTCCACAAGCCAGAATCTCAAAGTGGGAAATGATGCAAGAGCAATTATGTAATATTCTAGCAGCCAGAGGAAAAGTCTTTAGAGAAATAGTCATTCTACTCATTAGAATATCTTCTTTTGAGGAATAGGTAATTCACTTTAGGGCCATAAGCTAAGGCTTTCTAAAAAACGGATAAAATAATTTAAGTAATTAATAGTTCTATGCTCTAATAAAGGCAGTACTTGTTTTCTAAATGTTCTATCTTCTTGTTGTGCGGTGTGCTTACCATGCTTTTAACACTATACTCTTTGTCTCAGGGAGTGTTCAGATACTGCAGAATGGATGCCTTTGTCATGGATTACCACTTCTTGGACACAATGATGATATTTATGCTATATGGCTGGTGTGTTGTTCCTCTCATGTACCTTGGAAGCTTCCTGTTCTCTAGTGTTAGTGTTGCCTACATCAAGCTCACTCTGTTTAACTACTTGTCAACTGTTATCAGTATCATCATTCACACCATAGTACAATACTATGGTAAGGACTTCACACAATTTTCCCTCTCCCAAGGATAAACAGTAAATAAATGAGGATGAAAGGGCTTGTTAACATTAAGAATATTAATGCTAAGCAGTTAATTTTCAGGAATCATTGAAAACCTGTGTTTGTTTGTTTGTTTGTTTAATCAGTAAATATTGAGTGGATATGTGAGAGAAAGAGGGAGGGGAGAAGGAAGAAAGTAAGGAAAAGGAGAGAAAAGCTAAACCATCTGAGGGAGCAGGACTCAGTGTCAGTCTATTTTCATTAAAGAAAAAGATAAAAAGAGTAAGAAGTTGTAACACAAGTGTGCAAGACATTTTTCTCCTTCTAAGGTCCCTCCCCATGCCACCCCCCTTGAGACTTAGTCCTTGAATTTTTAGCATGTTAGCAGCACTTAGGAGCCAGGCAAGGAGATGGAGAGTGGAAGGTCCTTGATGTGATTCTCTCTAATTTAATGAAGAAATACATAATCTTGAACCTGCTAATGATACATACATATTTATTTATTTATTATTGTGCTTTAGGTGCAAGTTTACAGAGCAGAGTTTGTTTTACATTCAACATTACATGTACCTTTTGTTTCACTCCCCATTTACCATCCCCAACCCTAACCCAGTCTCCTCTCCTCCCTGCCCAGTAACCCCGCTGCCCCCATGCACCTCATAGTTATGCACTCCTGTGTGTCCTGCATTTCCTCCGTGCAAATGTTGCCCCACTGGTGCCCTGTGGTCGATTGCTCCAAGGGAAGCATTTCCATAGAGTATGTGGGTGCATTGCCCTGGGTTGAGTGGTCTGCATGTACATCTTGTTTACTACTGGGTTGAGAGCCAGCCCCTGGGAGTGAGTTTTATTCCAGGCCCAGAATGTATCCCAGGGCCATAATATTGGGGGTCTCACCAGACTTCATCCAACCAGTAATTCTGGTCATTATTGAGTTTTTGGATTTTTTTCCACATTTTTCCTCCCACTCTATCCAGGATCTCCAGATTTGATCCTTTCCTGAGTAGTTGGCATTCATAGCCGGATACAATCTAGTTCTTCTGGTCTTGAGGGCCATCATGTCATAGGGCTGACTGCTTCCAAATGCCCTTATAATTGCCATTAAACCAGGCTTTCTTCCTTTCATGTGTGGTTTCAGCAGGACTCCTGGAATAGGTTCTCCCATCTTCCTTCTCTGGTTATGAAATTTAAAGGAAGGCTGACTCACTTTGTGATTATCACAAATAAAATTTGTTTGATTGTTTGTGTGTTTGTTCTTAGAACATTCCTTTGTTGAATTTTTCTGTAAGTGTGAATTTGAAGTGTATTGAGGAACTCAGCCCTACCTAAAGTATGAAATGAAGACTTCCAACATCATTCCCTGACTTTAAGACTTGGCCTTCCACAAAATTAAACATAACAAGGGAACTAAACATGTTGTTGTTGTTAGGTGCCATCAAGTCAGTTCTGACTCATAGCGATCCTGCGTATGGCAGACGAAACACTGCCCAGTCCTCTGCCATCCTCACAATCCTTGTTGTGCTTGAGCCCATTGTTGCAGCCACTGTGTCACCCCATCTCATTGAAGGCTTCCCCTTTCTCACTGACCCTCTGCTTCACCAAGCATAATGTCCTTCTCCAGGGAATGGTCCCTTCTGACAACATGATCAAAGTACATGAAATGGAGTCTGGCCATTCTCCCTTCTAAGAAGCATTCTGGCTGTACCTCTTCCAGGACAGATTTGCTCACTCTTCTGGCAGTCCATGGTGTTTTCAACTTTCTTCACCAACACCACAATTTGAATGCATCATTTATTTTCTCTGTCTTCCTTATTCATTATCCAGCTTTCACGTGCATATGAGGCTATGGAGAAGAGCATAGCTTGGCACCTTAGTCTTCAAAGGGACATCTTTTCTCTTTAACACTTTAAAGAGGTCTTTGGTTGAATATTTGCCCAGTGCAATATGTCATCTGATTTCTTAACACCTGCTTCTATTGGCATTGATTGTGGATCCGAGTAAAATGAAATCCCTGGGAACTTCAGTCATTTCTATTCATGATGCTGCTTATTGATCTAGTTGTGAGGATCTTTGTTTTCTTAATGTTGAGGTGTAATCCATACTGCAGGCTGTAGTCTTTGATCTTCATCAACAAATACTTCACTTTTACCAATCAAGGTTTTGTAATCTGCATATCACAGGTTGTTAATGAATCTTCCTCCAGTCCTGATGCCATGAAAAAAATACAGCTTTTATTTCTTACGCACACCACTCCAGGATGTAGTGTTACGTCATGTGAGGAAGGCTTGAGCCCTTGCATAGTAGGCTAAATGACAATAGGGGTTTTGTGTTGGTACTCATTCCCTGAGTTAAAAATATTGTCAATATCATTTATACTAGCTACTTATTTTATTTGTGGTCTGCCCCCAAAATTGATCATGTCACCTATTCTGTCTTGTCTATTTTCTTTCTAAAATTATCCTTTGCTTGTGACTTAGACCTTTGGATTCTTTTGCACCAATATCCACTTACTTCTTCTCAACCATGGCAGAAGTGAAGGTTATTTCTCATAGCATGCTCAGTGTGTCCTCTCTCCTTTTAGGCAACTACTCTGTAAAGATTTCATATTTTCCTACTAGGGAGTATGAATGGGCTCATAATTTTTACCTTGATTGTTATATTCATTTTTGATAAATTTATTATCTGACCATGGTGTATTATCTCACTCTAAAGGAATGAGCTTTGCCTACCACCTGGAGTATGCTAAAGTAGCAAACTTGATTTTTGTTTTACCTTAAACCCAGATACAGTGAGTTTTCTGAATGCCAGTGTCCAAAAATGAAGACTTTCATACTAGAGTATAGTTCCATGGACTTCTAAACCTGTTAATTTTCCTCTGGGATTATAATATAATTTCTCTGTAGGAGTTAGGAAGTCTAGAAAATTAATTAGTTTCTTCTCCATGTTTGAAAATAATGATTACCATTCTATCCTTGTTGCTTATTGTGGAAATAAATCTCACCTTAACTCCAATTGTTAAATTCTGTCATCTGGTTTCTACTTTCTGGGATTCTGTTATTACCATTAATTTCAGGAAATCGAATTCCATTGCAACATCCCCTACAATCATTTTTGTCATACAGAAGACAGTCAACATACAGCTCTTCAAAAAAGGTATTCCTTACTTTCACTCTTTATCGAAGCATAACGGACATAAAGAAAGCTGAAAAGACCATGAATGTATATCTTAATAGATTTTCAGAAAGTGAATATACTAGTATTACCTTCCTCTCTGTATCCAGGCTCCGATTGCCCTAACACAATGAGAAGCCAGAGAGTAAAGAAGTCTCTTGCCAGAGGAGTGGGTTGGGACTTCCTTGATTTAGTCAATACAGATTAGCCTTCCAGGGTAAAGCATAATGAAGAAAGCTGGAGGGTGGACCTGAAGGGGAACATAGAAATACCATGGCACAGAAGCAACTAGATTTGGCACTTAGAAATTCAACAGAGACTTCCATGTCCAGAAGTGTGGTAGACTGAATATGGTGAATTGCCCTCCCACATAAACAACCAAATGTGTTGTATAAAATAATTTTTAACTTTTTAAATGCATTATTGACTGGCAAAAAGCCAGAATGCAGAGGGTAACAACAAAGTGAAATCAAGATTCCTGGTATTCATGATCATCCATTTTGTAGGTGTATGGGCCTTAGGGGAGTGTAAAAAACCTAGGACCAAGCAGAGGTGGGGATTCTACTAGCAGACCTCCATTTCAAGAGGAACTACAAACGTCTTCAACTTCAGCATAAAAGTGAAAGAAATAAATCCATATCATAGAAGAACATAACAAGGAAACCTGAATGTCTCAAAGGTCATCCTGAAACAAGGGAGAAAAATACCATCCTCTGAAAACTTCTACCTACATTCCAATACTCTTGTGGATTTATATACTTTTTGTAGTATATTTACACAAATTATATGTGTGTATGTATATATATACAAAATATATATATACAAAATGATCTGTGTAAATCAAGAAACTTAAGATGAGAATTTAAAGTAATCTCTAGCTAGTAGTGCAAATATTTCCAGGAGGTAACTCTCATAAAAATTTCTAAGGAAAGTGAACTCCAGTCAAAAACCACAAAATAAGGTTCTATATAAGTAAAGCAAGCTTTAAAACAAGCTACACAATAATACTTAAAAACACTTCAGATATGAGTGTATGTAGAGAACAATATAAAATGTGTTTAACAAGTTTTTTTAAATAACAGGTTTGAAAATATGAATAAAGAACAAAACATTTTTAAAAAAAGATTTTTTTAATGGAAGTTTCAGAAATCAAACATACATTTGCAGTTAACACAATGGAGAAAAGTAAGAAAAGAAAGAATTTGTAACTAGTAAAATAACCGGAATAGCGTAACCAAAATATAGCCTAGGAAGTAAATATATAGAAAATATGAAAGGAAATTAAAGGACATTGAAGATACATTATAAGGTCTAACACATAAAAAATTCAAGTCCCAGAGGAGATAATAACAAAAATGAAAGAATGACTACATTTTTCAGGATTTGTTGAAAGCTACAAATCTGGGGATTCAGGAAGCTCACGTAATCTTAATCAGGATAAATTTAAAAGAAGCCACACACAGATGTTTTAGTGGAAATGTGGACCACCAAAGATAAAGAGAAAACATAAAACAGCCAGAGAGAAAACACGGGTGACCTACAAAAGGAAGGATAATTGAACTGATAAATGGTTTTTGTGATAGTTGGAGCTGTGTGTCAACTTGGCTGGACCACAATTCTGTGTGGTTTAAGGAATTGTGATATGGGTTGTGCAATGATGGGATCAGATGTATATGTTTTGAGCAGCCAATCCACTGAAAGGGAGTTTCCCTAGGGGTGTGGCCTGCTTCCAGTATATTTATGGACATCCTGGGAAAAGACACACTCTTCTGTGGATCAGTATTCTGTTGTGCTGCCTACAACTGTCCATGAGTGAACAATCCACC